GGCAACTTGAAGAACTGCTGTTCTCAACATTGTTCAGTGCTATTTTTGGTGCAACTTCCTTCATGTATATTTATTTGTATTTTTTAATGTAGAGTAAGAGAACAACAATAATTCATAACTAAACATTTTAAAATTAGGTAGATTTAGTTCTGTCCACCAATGTATATGTTTTTAATATTCTCCTTAGTTCCATGGTAATTTGTGCCACTGTAATGAATACTTGCCTATTCAATTGAGTTACTAGATAACTTATTTCTGTTAAAGTGCTTCTTATCAAAGAAGGCAAAGGACTGTGTTCAGTAGATCTGCTTGTCCTTGATTTGTGCAGTGTGGCCTCTATTCTACATGCTGCCCTGGAGGTATGGACATTATGCAGCTAAATCAGCCACATATTTACAAGACTGTGGTTAAGACTAAGATGTGGTTTGCATTCAAACTGCCTACTTCTATTTTAAAAAGTTCTAAAAACATATGTCACATGCAGAACACATAATGGCATGATAGAAACCATTTTGCTTGCACTCATGTAAAATGATTTGCATAACGTATTTGTAGCTTCTGTTATCTCAACAATATGGTCATCTCAAAGTCAAGCAGACTAAGTTACTGTTTGCCATTCACTTATCACCAAATCACTGCATAATTTTTGTTTTTGTTCCACTGTTTAAATTGGAGATGATACACTATTAAAAATAGTAGTAGAAAATGAAAGTAAAATAAGCCCAAAGTCTTTTACTTTCTAGGTACTATTTTTTATCTAGAATTGGTGAACTTTGAACTTACAAAAGCTTCTCCTATATAGTTTACATAGTGAAGTTAATATCCATAAGTAACCTTACTTTCTTTTCACCAGAAGAAAGCACTGAATTAGGCCTAAAATAAGGAACTAAAATCTCACATTTGTCGTACCAGCCAGATGGTAACTAGGCAGAGATGTTAGAGTGAGGCAAGCACATCTTATTATCATTTACAACTTGCTAGCATTTAGTACCATGTCTCTGTTGGCATAACTGGACATACCAGCTCAAACTGTGCAGAGAAAAACAAAGAAGTGAGGACAGAAGTGGGCTGTAGAGAAAATTATTGTTATCTCTGATCAGCAGAGAATTTTTACTATCATTTTTGGACATGTAGAATTAGCTCATCAAATTATACACTTTGGTTCAGTCAATAACACTTCTTCAGTTTATTACTCAGTTTCAGCTCTGATCTGAATTCAGCAGTACTTCATTGATTTTAAATTGAGTGCCTATAGTGCTGAATTCTGTGTTGCTCTCTTAATTAATTAAAAAGTTAAACACTGTCATAAGTCACTGTGCTCCTTTTTTGAAAATGTTTTGAGAAATGTAGTAGAGTTGTGTGGATCTGTTTGTGATTTTACCTATTTCCAAACAATATTATGCAAGGCTAAACTGAAAAATCTAATGATTGTACTTAGCAGCCCACTGTCACAGTACTTACTGTGCTCCATATAAAACCACACCTGTGACTTTTCACTGTCTCAGCGAAAATTACATTTACCAAAATCAGAAACAGCCAAAATCTTCACTAACATTGGATATAAATATATTTATATTTTTTTTCTTTCTGTTAATCTTTGAGTATAGGGAAGTGGAACTGGTTTTAGACATTTTTAATCATTGTAATACGCCTGATTAGCTGATTGTTTTTTAGATTATAGCATTATGTGTCCAGCCTAAGGAGACCTCTCATATAAAATAGTTCTGCTTTAGATTTCATGTGGAGAAAAAAAAAAAGTGTCATTAAATACAAAAAGCACCGAAACTTAGGTTGTAAAGCTTAACTACATAGGATGGCTTTTCTCCCTGTCAAGCTGCAAAAAAAAAAGTTGTTGGTGGTTTTTTTGTTGTTGTTGTTGTTTGTTTTGTTTGTTTGTTTTAAATAAAATTGCCAGTTTTACCTTTGCCTGATAGTTCTGTAATGTAAGTGTGTGTGTGAGTACTGTGCTTACTTAGAGAGTGAGGAAATAATTACTGTCTCCCAGGTCCTGTCATCTTTCTGGATCTCAAGAAGCAAATAGCAAGGTAGGGATGAAATTAGTTCTGAATTAAGGTTTCATATGGATACGGCCTATCCAGTGTGATTCCATGCAGGCACGGCCATTATAGCTTTCCATTCCTGGAATAGCTAGCCAGCTTGAAGATAATTTTCACTTTTAGTGAAACAAGGTAATGGTAATTTACAGTACATGCCCCGTCTTTTATTTTTACCATTTTTCCTGAACTCTTGTGAGTATTTTTGAAATGGAAACTTCAGCTTCATTTTCTGTTTCTCAGGATGCATGTTGATAATGAGATTCATTCTTTATAATCCCAGTATTTACAAACACAAAAAGTTTTGTGTTTGTTTTTTCAGTAGTAAAGCTTCGTATCAAATATCATACTAAAGGAGCTAATATGTACTTTTCTAGTGGCGTGGTATTAATGACAAGTGTTTACTATAATTCAGCCATTTTAAAAGACTGCTTTTGTATTTTATTGTTCAGTAAGACTCAGTAAGAGTCAGGCCCCAGTACTGAAATGGAGAGTTTGAAACTAATAGGGTTAAAAGGACTTCCACTGTCTATACTGTGTGTGTGTTATACCTACATTGCTTATACATTGTTTTTTCCCCCCTAGTATTAGCAATCTGCTTTTGTACTTTGACATAGGGATTTCCCCTGTGAATTTTGTCACAGAAAAAAGAGAATCATCAATATCGCAGTTAAACTTGACTTTCAAAGCTAATAGTATCTCATTTGGGGGCTGAAATTTAATAAATTTTCTTTGATTCTGGGTGAGGTTTTAAACATCAAACAATGAACTGGCCAGGGTGCAGTAAAATATTTAGATCTATTGACTACGGTTCAGAAGGGTAGAAGGCAAAACACTGGTGGTTTGATGTTGATAAATTCTTAGTACCTTAATCCACATTAATGTTTTCTTTTATCTGTGTGCATACTGGCAGCAAAGACACTGAGAAGTTGGGATATATAAGCTGTAAAAATGTAAATCAAGTGTATGCATGTGTGTGTGTATTTAAAGTAATGCATTTTGTTATATTTGGCAAGGTGAACATCTGATCAGAATTACACATGCTGACAGAAGACCCTGGAGAGTATGTTTGTTCCACAGGACTGTATACCCTCAACCTAGTGCACTATGTGTGCAAAAAATGTGTAGAGGACCTTTCCTGTTATAAAAATTGCATCATAGTGCATATGTTTGGCAGCCACAGGTATTGACAGGAATTCTTGAGGTCAGCTTGGGAAATGTAAGGCTCTCTATTCCCTCAGAACAGAGCAATGAATAAAATAAAATCTTTTCTTCTTTGTATCAGTAGATTTACACATGCACGCTTCTTTCACTCAGAGTGGATTTCAAAGGCTGTGCTATTATTTGAAATATGTTCACTCATAATCAACATTTTACAAAAATCTGATTTCATAAGTGGTTACAAAAAGGTAATCTGGGATTTAAAATGAATGGTCATATGTTTTAATTCATGTTTCGCAAGTTCTTTTGGGCAAGGGAGGCTCTAAGAAAAACAGAAAATTATTTTAAATAGTATTTAGTAAATGATGTATCTATTGATTTATATGCATTTGGCATATATTTAGTATATGCTTTTGTATCTGACTGCATATTGTTGTTAAAGACAGTTAAATTATTTTTGCAGTACTAGCTATTGCTACTCACCTGTGCCAAGTGAATGTATTTCACTTATTCATTTGTGCTAATATATATTTGTATGTGTGTCTATCCATCTGTGTTAGAATCTGATCTGGCTACTGGGATCACCAGGAGGTAGACATGGTAATTTTGGTATAAAATGGAAGGAAAAACGGATGTGTGGCAGCATGCGGAATATGAACATAAGCAGTGTCCACGACGCTGTGTATTAAATACGTACGATTTCACATCCACGCTCACGAGCTAATTACAGGTTCTAGTATGTGGAAAAATGTAGCTTTCTGCCTAACGGTGAGAATATCGCTCTCCCGTGCGGCTCCGGTAAGCCTGCTTGCGCGGAAAGGCTTAGGCGCCGGTGGCCTGGCTTTGCGCGGCGCGGGAGGCCGCTTGCCGGAGGCGCCAGCAGGTGGCGCTGCGACACCAAGTCCTAGGGTGCCGCCCGGGCTGGGGGCGTAAGAGCCGCGGGAACGACGGAGGCAGCTCCGCTCCCCGCTGACCGGCCCGACCGTCAAACTTGCCAGGTAGCAAATGTCCTGGCTCTTGAGCGAATTGTGGCGTCCCCCGCGCCAAATCGGCGTAGTTAGAAACTGTATAAATGTTGATTAATACCAATCAGTGCATTATTTCTTATAGTGAGTCCACAATAAGAAATCTAGTAGCAGAGTGGTTGTGTTGGGTTTTTTTTAGGTGGGGTTTTTTTTGGTTTTTTTTGTTTGTTTGTTTGTTTTGGTTTGTTGTTTTTTGTTGGTTTTTTTTTTCTTTCTCCTGCTGTTAATTGCGGAGCTACAGGTTGGTGTATTTTGCTTTGTTTGAAGATTATTAATTTTAATCTGGAATTTAACTGAATTGATATTAAATGGACCATACTGTGGAGGACTGATACAATCTCCCTGCAGTAGACAGAACTCACGTGCCAGGTTCTTGTTTGTGCGATCACATGAACTTTTTAATTTCATAGCTGATGTTTGTTTGAGCCAGAAGTACAATTACTATTTCTTTTCTTACGAGGTTTTTGCAGGGGACAGGTCTGTGAAATGTATATACCAGGTGGACTTGCGAGCCCTTAGCATCTCTGCTTCCTTTCTCATTTCAGACTGGAGGAAGATGCTTTTTCTTCTTAACATTCTCTCCCAGCACTCTGAATTAGAGATTTATTTGCAACAAAAAATCAATTAGTCCTAAATTTATTCATGGATTTCAGGTCCAGCGATCAATGCAAGTCCACTCAGTGGGCTCAAGGGGACCCAGTTCATCCCAGTTAATGTGTCTGAAGGGGAATTACCATTGATGCTGTTTTTTTCCCGTTAGGTCAGAGATCAGACCTTGCTGTCACAAACTGTGGCAACCAGGAATGACTTCACCCTGCAGCTACCCAAACTGCACCTAGAGACCTTTGCAGTGGAAAGGCTGAAGGGCAGGCCAGAGGTTGTAGCATTTCAGGTTAGAGTATAAAATAATCCTGTTTCTTTTGTTCCTTTTTTGCATCTGAGATAGAACAGGAAGCTAGACTGCTCGAATATGTGGAGAACAAAAAGCTTCAAAACTATTGCAGTCCACAGTTGAAAGAGAAATAATTTCCATATATACTCTTTAATACGATATTTCAGAGGTGATGTGAACTTTTTATTTTGCTATTATAATATTAAATAACTGATGGGAATATTACCATTTGAAAATTAATATCAGTCTATCTCACCCCTCCTTTCTTCTCCCTCACTTAATTTAAGCAAGACAGCTAAAATAGGAAAACCAAAAGACAAGATTTTTGTTCTGCTTCTTGGTCAGTATCAGATTTTTCCATATTACAGTTTTAGAAGTAGTGATTTTTGAATATTCCTGATTTAAAAGAAACTGCTATTTGGAATACTTAAATATTGAAGCTATTTTGTTCATGTAGGTTTAAAGAGTTTTATGTTTCAAGATACTAATTTTGTTAGGAGGAAATAATGGGGAAAAAAAAGATAAATTAACTGAAATGTACATATTCTCAACTATAAGAATGGATTCTGTGCAGTGCCTCCTTATTGTTTTTAAGTTTGTTATGTTTTCTTATATGCAAACTATCCCTTAGTCTTTATAGCTGTGCTGGATGACTTCATTCATGTGATGCATTATTGCTAAAGGCAGAACACTTTGTTTTCTCAATGAGAGAATGAAAGGCAAAGTGCGTTCGTACTAATTTTGTTGTTCTCTTCTACGTGAGAGAGGAAAGCTCGTTATGTAAAGTTCAAGGAAGTCAGACAATGCAAATATTGCATAGTGTGTGTATATTTCAGTAGTAATCCTTTTAAATTTATTGGAGGTTTTTTATTCTAGATGCATGATATAATTGCAGGAACAGGGTCACAAAATCAAACATTCAAGAAAGGCAAATTCTAAGCTGGATATTTCTCACTGTTGCCCTCTCACATGCATGCATTTCAGTATGATAAAGATTTAAATTATGTGTGTATTACCATGTTTCCATAATAAAGTAGTAATACGTAACACGTTGAGATTTCCATGAACTTCAGTTAACACAGCTGTACATCTCTAACAGAGGGTGGAGTTTCAAATGTTCCCCAGTTCAGAGATGATCACTTCTAAGGCTGTGCAGAATGTTCCACAGGTGGCATCTTTTCAAAAAAGCTGTCATGGAAATCACCAGCTTCTAAATGCTACTCTTCTAATTCAGTGGCCTATTCAGTGATAGCTACCTTTTTATTTCTTTTTTTTTGGTCCCATCACAACTCCCACTCTTTTTTGACCTCAGAGTGATTGTGGAGGCATTTGCAAGACAGCCTATTCCTTCTTTCTTTGTTAGAAGATGAAAGGAAACAGAAGAAAAAAAGTTGCATTTCACATTTGTACAGGGTGGTACAACTAACACATAGCAATGTATGCACTGGCTGACTTACTGGTGATGCAGTACTGTAAACACATTTTTTGTTTACCTGACAGCTCCAATTACACATGGTTACTGTGTACGTACACAAACAACATCAGTGGTTTACAGTCTATCTCCCTTTTCCTTTTTCCCTTTTCCTCTCCTCCTCTCTGGTTACATAGTGTCTGTTTGATAACTTTCTGAGTACATTATAGGGATTTTACTATAAAATGTCTCTTTTATAGCTAGGAGTCAGCTCATTTGTTTTAATTTCACTGTGTGCAAAAGTATATTAAGGACAATCCTGCAATATTGAATGAGGTAAGCAGTTAGTAATCACTTCATGAACACTTCTTATTAAAACCAGCAGATTTTTTTGCATGCATGGTCTCTGTTACTGCTACTACTACAAGTATTTTATAGTTAGTGTGAGACAAGTACATTTCAGTTAAAGGTCTTATTATCTGCAATTGTTAGACATAAGGAATTTTTTTTCCACAGTTTATTGATATTTGATGATTCCTTTTGAAACACTGCCTAAAAATTAAGATCCTAAGTTTGACAGTATAACAGGGATGCGGCACTGGCTATCAGAGCTGCTGAGTACTCTAAGAGATTGCATTGTTTTATTTTTATTATTCATGCATCCTGTTCATAGTAAGTGTCTGGAATCGGTAATTAATAATTTTATATCCATTGGCTTAGTGTGTACCACTTTTTCATCACATGAGAAGAAGAAAAAAAGCTAGTATATTTATATGTGCATACACATCTGCATAGGTTATCTTTCTTCCAAATTTTTTGAAATCAAGTAGCTCTTAAAGGCATTTTGAATGAAATCTGCTATCCTTAATTTACTTGATGGGCTCAGCAGCATTAGGGAGCTTTGTTCTTTGTCATTGGGAATACAGGAAGTCTTGGAATTTCTGAATTGCTGTTATCTCTATATAAATGTTTCTTGGGAAAAATATATTTTCCTTATTGAAGGCAAGTGCAAAGAAGATTGACATAATGAACCTAAGTTGCTTGACTGTGAACTAAGCTATCAAGTATTTGCTTTTTTGTGGCATACTTAATTAATTATCTTATAAAACCAGAAAGCTGTTTTTTCTAGCAAATGGATCCGACATTCTAAATACTATGAAGCTTACAGGGCTAATGATACAAACACGCAAATAAAACCCCTGTCATTCCCAAATAAAATAACTGTATAGGAAGTGGTGTGCATCTTTTAAGGGCTGTGTTGTACACTCTAGTGATAGACCTTTAAATAATGAAATGAAATATTTGGCACACAAAGTTCTGTGTATCTTCTCCAAAGCCTGCACTTTATGTTGTGGCTCTTGAATTGCAAAATTGTGTAATAGATTGAAATGTAAGTTATTTATCAGTCCTTGCACTGATTGTCTTCTAAAGCCTCATCCAAGTAGTGAAAGTATGACTTAATTTGCAGGTACTTGTTAAATTCCGGGAAACTGTAACAAGAATTACTGTAATAGTTTGAAAATGTCACTTGAGATGGATAAGTAATGAAAAAAGTGCAATATCTCGAAGAGTGAAATGATATGATTGCTATAGCTTTGAAATACTCTCACTTGGTATTTAATTGCTGTGAAGGATGTTAAGCCACAAGATTGTTCTGTTTGTTACTTAGTTAAGTTTGAAAGTGGAAAATACAGTATTATTTTCAAGCACCTGAAACACATGAGAACAGGATTTAAAGTGTGTTGTTCTGGACATGCCTGAATGTACTCACTGAAGACAAAAAGTGGTACCGTGTGTGAAGCCTCCAATTAATAGAGGATATTGGGTGAAAAAAACCAAACAACTGAAATAACATGGGATTCCTAATTCTAGTAGTCTTGCTTGGCAGATGACTGTTTAAATTAAACCGTAAAGGTTATAAACTCCTTATAAAATACAAAATTGTATTGTGCTACACCTTTAGGATAATGCTGTCTTAACTCTCTCTTCTGAAAGAGGTTATTTGCTCACAGAAAAAGTGGTAATTCAGAAGATTCATTCTGAATTGTCTCAAGTACTTTTACATCAAATATGTAATTAATACTCATAGAAAGCAATTTGATCTGAAAAACAATGCATGAAAAGATTTAAATATTCATGTAAAAATAATTAAGCATTGGTATACTCTCACAATAAATTTCTTCTGTTTGGAGACATAGATGCATAAGGGTAAGAACTCGTATGAAATATACTTTTCAAAGCAAATTTATTAATTCTGCAATAGCAATGTGATGTGTAAAGTATATTTGATGTGTGTTTGATTCCGAAACAGCGAAGAGCTAACAACATAATGTTCAGTGGCTTTGCCCTGAGTACCTAAGTTATGCTCTGTAACTGCTGTTGCAGATTAGTTTTATGGAAGGTACAGGAGCTGTGTGAACGAAGTAGAGGAGAGCTGTCTTTATGGAGGATGTCCCAGATGTTCTAGTGAAGAGGAGTAACAGGTTTATTCAGGCATTGTCAGTGAAAAACAGTAGCAACAAGAAACTAGCTGTGTTTGTCAGAATCACATAGGCTGCATGTCCAAAAGGCATACATAAAGCTGTGTGATCAGCCAGCCACTGATGCTCACATGTGGTAGCTGCCTGCAAATGTGCAAAGAGAGAAAGAGTAGTCGTTTTCTGTGTCATGGGAACTACCTTGACCTCTATCTTAGAAGTCTCCATTTGCATATTTTATTAATTGGCACTATGAATTTGTGGTTTGGGCAGCATTTGGCATGGTGGGCTTCCTCCTCCTCTAATATCTGGTTGCTAACGGATGTGATATGACTTCTGGTTGTTGGCTTGGAAGAGGACTGATTTTGGGTCCATCATTCACAGATGAACTTGTGTTGCTGTTTTATGGGAATTATATGAATTAAGAGAATCCAAAGGGGCAAGTTTTGTGAGTGACTTTAATGAGGATGTGGATATTTAATGCCTTTGTGTGGTGTATGAAAATGCAGATATGAGGATGAGACTACAGGCAGACTTCTGGTGTAAAAGGGGTGCACATAAATGTATCTGTATTTGGCATTGTTAATAGGTCTTAGGAGAAAGCATTTCTTTGTGTGCTCCCCTTCACTTGAGACGAAAGATTGACCTAACTGTTGGAAGTCTGTTGCATATTAGAAAATTCTAGTTTATTATAGCCAAGGACTCAAGTAGGTAAATCTGTATTTTTCATTACTAAGCTCTCCCTTAATTTTGGTATACTGTACACTTCTGGTGTGCTTTCTCTCTTCCACGTGGGTTGGAGATGGGCAAGTTTTCACTTTGTCCTATCTGTCCATCTCTGTTTCCCTCTCTTTTTGTCTCTCTCTCTCTGCCGCTTGCTCTTGTTCTCTGCTGCATGCTGTCTTTCCCTGTGTGCACGCTCTCCATTTCATGTGTGCTCTCTCTGTGCACACTGCTGCATGCATGCAGACTCTGCAGCTCCTGCTCTCCCTCTCCCTGCCATGCCTGCTCTCTGGTGTATGCAGGTGCCTTCCCTCCATCCGTCTCTGCCTGCTGCTTTGCCTTGGTCTCTCTTGGTCTCTCTCTCCTACTTCCTGTACCTGTCTTTCCCA